AGTTGGTGAGATTTCGTCTCGTCTCAGGTACTTGGCTGTGTTGTCAGAAGAGACCAGTCCCTGGAGAAGAACATGCTTGGAGAAGTAGAGGGGCATCGAAAAAGAGGAAGACCATTGATGAGATGGGTTGATCGAGTGCCTGCAACAAGGGCCTCAAACGGAAGAGCAATTTTGAAGATGGCGCTGGGCCAGACAGTGCTTCTTCTGTTGTACAAAGGGTCTCTTTTGTGGGAGCCAACTCGATGGCACCTCACAACAGCGACAGACAGTTACAGTCTTGGAAATCCACAAGGGCAGCCCTACTCTGGCCTGTAAAGTTGCTGGGTTGGAATTAATTCGGTGGCAGTGAGTGAGAGCAAATTTCCATAGGAGTAGAAAGCCTCATCTTTCTTCTACACAGCAGCTGGGTAATTTCAAATGCCTGCTCTTGCAGTTTAGTGGCTCAACACTTGGATTATATGGGTCATCGCTAAATTAATTTCTCAAGAGAAAGCATCAAAGCAAGGGACAGGTCACCCAGGACAGGCCACACCACGGAAAAGCCTCTAGTCAGACCCTGAAGTTCCTGTATCTCAAAGCCGCCTACACAGATCAAGTTCCACAGGAACCCAATGCCTAAGGCAAACATTCTCTGCTGACCTGCTCACTAAGCTGTTTGACCTAAAGGTGAGTCCAGGCAACCAGTTCCTTCAAGGTTCAAATGAACACCTAATGGTGATGCCCTCATCCAATTCCATTTCTGGCTTCCTAACTCCAGGTTGCTGCACATTTTATTATAAAACTTTATCTCCCCGAGCTTCCTTTTGAAACTTTCGGTTCAGTTCTTTTACTTTATCATTTCTTCTCTTTGTTTTAGCTATTGCACATTCAAGTGCCGACTTCAGCATCTCTTCTGACACCCACTCTGATGTCTTATTTCCTTCTTGTCTTTTTAATGGCCAAGAACAGCTTCACAAATTATGCTTTTGATGCCAATCCACAGTTCATCAGGTCTTCTGCCATTAATGGTCAGTCGGCCAAAGCTATTCTTGAGATATTCACACATTTAGGTAGGACATACTCAAGGTGTAAATTTGACTTCCTGTGTCTGATTAGTCAAACGTGTTTGAAGATGAAAGGAACTTCCAAAATTCTTACATCACATCTTTATAGACATTGCCATGGAAACAGGGCCTGAAGTGTTTATTTTGTAACAATTTAGTCTGACGTTTGAGTTTCTAGACGGCAAAACGGACTGAACACAAATGTTTTTTGAAACATTTCAAAATGCCAAGCATTTACTACTTTCTTTATTGTTTGACTTTAAAGTGACTTGTAGGAGACCAGGGAGTGCTGATGGCAGAGGTTAAGGGTTGGACTGAGAAGACTTTCTCCGCTTGTAAAGCGTGACCATCTCAGACACTCACAGGGCTTCCAGGGGCAGTTCCACTCTGTCCTGGAGTCATTGGACATCGCAATCGGCCCGATGACAGGGAGTTTGGTTTGGATTCTGGAAAGCCATGTGGCACAAGGAGCCCGGGTGGCACAGTGGGTGACAGGTTGGCCTGCCAATGGGAAGGTCAGCTGTTCAAACCCACCAGCCTCACTAAGGGAGGAAGATGACGATGGAAACCCACAGGGACAGTTCTCGGACCTGTAGGGTGGCTGTGAGTTGTAATTGACTTGCTGGCAGTGAATTTGATTTGGTTTGGTCCTTTTGAACCTTGAAGACCTCACTGTCAGACTCTAGGACAGGGTTCAACTGCCCCTGTGCTTTTCCAGATTGAAACTCTTTATGGGAGTAGAAAGCCTCACCGTTCTCCTGCAGAGAGGCTGGTGGATTTGAACTGTTGGTCTTACGGTTCGCAGCCCAACGCATAACCTTACAGTTAAGGGTAAATCTCCTGGGTTAGTCACCCCAACTCCATGGGCCCCGGTGTTTCTCCTTCTGTAGACAACCCTAATCTCTAGACGCAGTTTAAAGCCGAATTCAGGGTCTTCAGAAAAATCCTTTTTATTGCCCTCGGGATGTCCCGAAGGTCCCAGGGTGCAGCATACCCCAAGCGCCCGCGCTCCGCCCGCAGGGAACTACGATTCCCAGAAGGCAATGCGTCCCGGGGGCGGAGCGCGACGAGGGCTGGCGGCTAAGAGAGAGAGAGAGAGAGAGAGAGAGAGAGAGACTGTCGTTGGCCGATTCCATTGCCGGGGGCGGGGGGGGCCGTCCGAGCCGAGTTGGTTCGGATTGGCTGTGACCGCAGGGCCTGCGCTCCGCGCGGTTGGTACGATCCGAGGGCTGCAGCCCGCGGGCCGGGCGCTCGGATTTCCCGGGCCGGGTGCGCGGGGCATGCCGGGAACGAGGACGGTTACCCACCTGGTCGGTGGCGGCCGCGGCGGGTCTTCAACATGCAGAGCACGGACCTGGGCAACAAGGAGAGCGGCAAGATATGGCACCGCAAGCCAACCCCCGCCACTCGCGATGGGTAAAGGCCGCGGCGGGCGGGCGGGCGCGGGCTGTGCAGCGGGCAGGGGCCGAAGCTCACCTGAGCACCAGGTGCCCGGGCCCGTGCGGAGCGCACCTTCGGGGATCGCCGTAGCTGGGTTAGCCCAACTCCCGTGCCCCCGACTCCCCGGAGCGCGCATCTGCTGCATCCCAGCACCCCACTGAGATAACTCCAAGTCGGGATATGGCGTGAAGAAGCTTCTTCGCTACAAGTAGCTGGTGATTCGCAAAAGTACTTTTCACCAATGACAGCGCTCTCTGTGCTTACTGTAACAATGTAAACACCCACTCTCCTGTGTAGTCTCTTCTCGCGGCCTCCTAACCACAACAGAAACGTTCGTGTGTTTGCATGCTTAATGTCTGCCTTCCCTGCGAAACTAAGTTGTGGGAGGGCAAAGACCACGTCTGTTGATGACATTATGTTGAGTCCCTGGCTTGCGAAGTGGCACACCGTTCTGAACCGCTTGCAGAGCTTATTCTAAGATGGATTCTAGGGGAAAGAAAGTAGGCGAGGGATGGGTAGGTAGCCATCAAAAAAAACCAAAACAGCCCCATCAAACTAATAGAAAGGTCCAATTGTTTCTACAACCGAGGGGTGCTTGACAGAGAAATAGATGTGTTATGTTTTGTCTTTGACAGAATTGTAGTGAACATCATTCACAGCACTTCTGAATATCTTCCCAAAGTTTTGCGCTTTTTGAATGTGGCGTTCGACAGCTCCGGCGATTGCTTTATTGCTGGGGACCATCAAGGAAATATCTATGTGTTTGACTTGTACGCAAACAGGTAAGCGGATACTTTTGGTATTTACCTTATTAACTAACTTTAACACTTTACCATTTTAGTACCTGTTCTTCGTGATTCGCGTGGGAGTATTTATTATGAAGTTCTTACCACATCCTTACTGTTCTCCCTTTTATAGGCGCCTTGGTGGTGTAGTGGGTTATGAAGTTGGGTTGCTAACTGCAAGGTCAGCAGTTTGAAACCACCATGGGAGAAAGATGAGGCTGTCTGTTCCCATAAAGATTCACAGCCTCGGAAACCCTTAGGGGCAGTTCTACTCTGTCCATTGAGTGGCTGCATCAAGTCACGACGAACTTGATGGGAGTTGAGTGCTCCCTGTCAGCACACTGTCCTCAGTGCTCAAGGAAGCAAATACTCCTCGCAGGATAATTTGGTTAGATTTCTTGCAGGAGTATGGTTTTAGCAATATCTTTAGTAGCTTTCTACTCTTGTGAAGACTTATAGTCTCGGAAACACACCCTGGTCTATAGTGGTTATGCACTCAATGGAACTGAGTTTGGGGTTGTGTTTTTTTTTTAAGTAGCTTGATTTTCTGTCGAATTAAAAGACATTATTGCTAATTTCTCAGTTAACTTCTAATCTTCATTAAGCAAGTCCCAACGAGCCCTTTGCCCATTATTGTTCTAGTGTACTAGGCCCACGATTTGAAAGAGTTCATCCTTTTCTCCTTACTGTTTCCTTCCCTTACAAATCAGTGTAGCCCCAAAGCACTTCCTTGGGACCAATCCCAGTAGACATCTCAGCAGTGGGGGTGGATCGGAGGGTTCATTATTTCAGTGCAGTGTGTATGTTGGAGGGGTTGAAGATAGGGTTGGAAAATTGGTTTCCTACAAGGATTTTGAATAAGGAAGGCCAAAGAAGAATCGATACATTTGAATTTGGGTGCTGATGAAGAATATTGAAGGTATCATGAACTGCCAAGAGAATAAACAAAGCTGTCTTGGAATAAGTACAGCCAGATTGCTTCTTGGGCAAGGGTGGTGACATGCATCTCACATACTTGGGACATGTTGTCGGGAGAGACGAGTCCCTGGAGGAGGGCATCGTGCTCGGTAAGGTATCCGGGCCGTGCAAAAGTGTAAAAGCCCCTGACGAGATGGACGGACAGTCGCGGTCCTGGAGGCTGAGGAAAGACGGATGTATGATTCCAACTCCGTGAGGTTTAGAAAGAGACCTGATTGGCCGGAATCGAGACAGGTGCTTTGCCTGCCGATGACATTCTCTGAGCGAGGCCTGAGCATTTCGGAAGATACCAGTAGGGCTCTGGGCCTGGAGGCTAACGGAAGGTTGGTGGGTCAAATACCAACTTTTCTTTGGAATAAAGGCCTGGCAGTTTGTCTCCAGGAAGAGTCACAGCCATGGGGCAGTTCTGCTCCACCCTCGAGGGTCACTGTCAGTCTACTTGTCAGCACTGGTGGTTTTGGCTAAATCTGTTGGTGTCACTCCTGGACTTTGATGGTTATATTGTGATTATCTAAGGAACCTCCCCGCTGCTTCATGGGCGAGAGTGGAGGCTGTCTGCCCTCATGAAGAGTCCCAGCCTGGAAACCCTGGGGAGCCAGTCCCTGTGCGTTGGAATGGGCTTCCGAGCCCTGGGTTCCAGGGATGCCCTAGGAGCATCTGCTTGCTTGCAGCAGACGTGAACTTGGTGACTGACTCATAGCGAGTGAAAAGAGGGCCCCGTTCACATAAGAATGAGGTTTTGGTGATGTAAGTTTGTTTTATCTGTTAGTCCTCGTGTCTGCCCTTTCCCCGCAAAAGCAATGGTCATGATTCCCCCGTCCTTTTACCCTTGTCTGACCTGGCTCACCACCCTCCCGCCTGAAACCCATACTCCTGCCAATCTTTGGTCCTCTCTCGGGACAAAATCACAATCGTTCTTGATTGCCCGCTTGATTGCGTATTGACCTTCAGGATCAGCCATCTTAGCAATTCACTTGCTTATTGATGGTTATTTAAAGTTCATCTCTCCTCACCTCTTCCCTGCCTTCTGAAAAAGCAGTCGGGGAGGAAACCTCTGCTGTGGTCCCGCAGACAACCAAGTCTTTAACTCCGCCCTCGGTGGCCTTCCTGCGGTCATGGCTCCATGGACAGCCCTCTTTTAGTTTGCTCTCTGCCCCACCCCACCCTTTAAAAAATCATTTTATTGGGGGCTTGTACAATTCTTATCACAATCCACCCATCCCATCCATCCATCCATCCATGGTGTCCTCCTTTTACTTTTGACTCCAGTTGTTCACCCGAAGTAGATGGCAGAGCTGAGACTTGACCTCAGAAGGCCCCTGGGCCCAGAAAGACTTCAGCAGAGGGAACCCCCTGGGCACTTCCACTCTGTCTTGTAGGTCACAAAGAGCCAGAATGGGCTCCAGGCACGCGATCTCTACAGCAAGCCTAAGAGAGAAACTTGGAGATTGGACTGCCCAGGCCAGTCGCCAATAACCGCCGGTGGTGGCTGGTCCCCACTGGCAAGTGCTCACAGTGCCAAATCCCCAGGGATGGTGTGGACCGTGTCAGAACAAGATGGAAAAGATGTCACATATACAGCCCCCTCCCCACAAAGGGGATGAATAACGGAAATGTGGGTGAAGGGCGACAAATAACAATATATAATTGATGGAGGATACCGGCAGGGTGGGGAGAGAGAGGAAAAAAGAGGAGCTTATACCAAGGGCTCAAGCAGAAAATGTCTTGGAAATGATGATAGCAGCATATGTACAAATAGTCTTGATACAATTGATGTATGGAATGTTAAAAGAGCTGAGAGCCCCCAATAAAATAATGGGAGATGGTAATAATAATAAAAAAAGAAAAAGAAGTCACGTTTTATATTGATACCATTGACATGATGTTTTAGAGACTTTAAATGCATGAAATATATTCTAAAAATAATACATAAAATAGTTATCATAGAATTAAAGATGCTGTTGTTGTTAAGATTACTTAAGACTAGTTTTACCCCTCTCCGTTTTGCTTTTAAAAATGAGGCTCCCAGGTCACTTGAAGGGCGGTGTGTGTTCTTTCCCTGCTCCACATGCTGCCATCAGTGCTTTTCACGGCCGTAAACTCAGCCTGCTTGAAATCAGGCTAATTCTTTCCTATCCCCAGGCTCCTTTCTTTCCCACAATTGAGGGTTTTGTGTTTTTTTTAAATACTTTTTGGGGACTTACATCGCTTATCACAATCCATACATTTATCCAGTGTGTCAAGCACATTTGCACATATGCCGCCATCATCATTTTCAAAGCATTTTCTTCCCACTTGAGCCCCTGATATCCGCTCTCCATTTCTCCCCCCTCCCCTGCCTACCCTCCCTCATGAACCCTTGATAAGTTATAGATTATTTTTTCCATATCTTACATCCTCCGTCGCCCCTCACCAACTTTTCCGTTATTCGTCCCCCTGGGAGGGGGTTATAGATTGATCCTTGTGATCAATTTCTTCTTTCTCCCCCCACCCTCCCCTAATCCTTCTGGTATCTCTACTCTCATTGTTGGCTCTGAGGGGTTTATCTATCCTGGATTCCCTATGTTATGGGCTCTTGTCTGTAACTGTGCATGCTCTGGTCTAATCCGACTTGTAAGGTAGAATTGAGGTCATGAGAGTGGGGTGAAGGAAGCAGCAAAGAACTAGAGAAAAGTTGTGTGTTTCTTCGGTGCTATACTGCACCCTGACTAGCTCATCTCTTCCCTGTGACCTCTCTGTGAGGGGATGTCCAATTGTCTACAGATGGGCATTGGGTCTCCGCTCCATGCCTCCCTGCCCCCCATTCACCTTGGGTATGGTATTATTCTGGGTCTTAGCACAATTGAGTTTTTGAAAAAATAAATTAAGCTGTAGGTATGTGCCAGGTACAAGGGGGCTTCCAAAAGTTCGTGGGGAAATGAGATTAAAAGGTAATGACAAACTCTGATGCCCTTCATAGGGACCTTGGTGGTGCAGTGGGCTGAGCCCGGGCAGCAGGTGAAGCCCACCAGCCATTTTGAGGGAGAGGGGTGGGGCCGTCTGCTTCCATAAGACATACGGCCTTCGACGCCCTCTGGGGGCGTTCTGCTCCGAGCCAGAGAGTCGCAGCGAGTCAAGTTCAAGTTGGGGGAGGGAAGATGGGGGCCTGAGTTTGGCTTCAGGTGCCAAGTATCTGACTGAACATGTTACACAAATTACTTCCTTTCATGACCTGATACAGTATCAGTGCTTGCTTTATTTTGGTACCCAAAGAATTCCAGATTCCCCTAGACTCCATATTTAATGTACAGCCAGGTCTCTAAAGGGTCTGTGACTTCCTGGTACTAATGCAAGTGATCTCTTGCTAGGTTTAATCTTGTCCAGCGAACAGCACAGGCCTGCACGGCTCTGGCCTTCAGTCTTCGCAGGAAATCCGAATTCCTGGTGGCGTTAGCTGACTATTCCATTAAATGTTTTGATACAGGTAAGAATGACCTATTCATCTCTCTGAGGTCCAAGAATGAAACAGATTCTTTAAAAAAAAAAATGCCTACCTCCTTTATCCCATATTATCTTTTTCTAATTAAGAAATTAGAGTTCTAGAGACTGAACCCCTTACACTTTTTTATTGCTCATGAAGTTTTTTGTTTTTGTTTTTCTAACAGTTTTATTGGCATAAAATTCACATATCAATCATATAATTCCATCACATCATACACTTTTTTTCCCCCCAAGAGCAATCTCAACTGTATTTCTTAATTATTAAATTTGTTCATGGGTTACAAAATCTAGGAAGCTCGATTATAAGGATCGTGATAGTGTTTGTGCTATGCCAGCTATGGTTCTTTGATGTTACACTTAAAAACTTGCTTTAATGGTCACGGTGACTCAAGGAGATGGGTGGTGTTACCGTCTGCATTTTGCAGAGGAGGAAGCTGAGGCACGGAGGTAACTTGAGTGAGGCCTTGGCGAAGCCAGGATTCCGGCGTAGGTGGCCTGGCTGCAATTTTTTATTCTAAGAAGGCAAAGTCTTTACTCTCATCTGTTGGTCACTTCCTTTGGGTTCCACCCCTTTCTGTGCCTGGGTCCTCGTCCTTCGTTCCTTGTTGAAGTCCCCTTCCTGAGTCGCTGCCTCAGGCCTCCTAACCCCTGAGGTCCCCGGATACCTCTAGTCCCCTTCACCGCCAGCTCCCACCTTCTCACAGCTCCCGTCCCTGTATTCCCACTCTGGCCCCTCCCACCGCTGCCACTGAGGCCATTCCTAAACTCTGACCTCATGCACACATACCTACTTCCCGTCCTCTGCCTCTGCCGCATTGGACGAAGGTTACTAGCTATGTGTCTGTCTGTCTGGTTTTCATACTGTTCTCTCCCGACTCTCCTGCCTGTCTGACTGCTGCTTCATAGGAGCTCTCCCACATTCTTTTTGCAGTCCCTAGACTTGGGGTTTGGGCCCAATTAAAAAAAAAAAAGGAGAGGAAGTCACATGAGTCACCTTTTAATTTATCTAATTGGCATCGGAAAGAACATATCATTTTACCTCATAAAATAAGCTTGTATATGTGCTTTATTTCTAAACATGGAACTAGGAGGGCCAGAATGTTCGTTTAAACAACAGTGCTTTAAAGCTCGCTTTCGGAGAGACATGTCACTGGTCCTCATTTTTCTCATTTTGAGGCCGCTGGGCAACCACGACGCCCTCCCTTTTGGTTGTCTGTGTGTCTGTCTTCACTGTTGACGACTCTGCGTCTTCACGCTTCCCATGTTCCTCTCTTGGCTCCTGACTATTCATGTCCATCTTCCGGGGGTGGGGGGTGGGGGTGGTGATTCTGATCCTAAAAGTAGAACATGTTCACTGTAGAAAACATGGAACGATACAGAAAACTGGAAAGAGAAACTGAGTCACTTCTATTTTACTACCCAATGAGAATTATCGTGAACATTTTTTTCTCCTTCTGAAATTGTAGATATATGTGTAAAGAAACACTTGCCATTTTAACCATCTTGACATGTGCAATTGACTACGGTCATCCTGTAGCCCACGCATCAGCCTTAACTGTGCCCGAGTGGATCATGAATCATTTTTGGTGTTCCGACCAGAGTTTTTCTCCTATACATACCACCACCACCACCACTCCCGCCCCCACCCCGCTTCCATCCCCACCCCCCTAGAGCCTGTTTGTCAAAGCCGCCAGTGTGTCCACCGTATGCCCTTCAGGGCTTCTTCTAAAGCACAGATGGGAACCGGCATTCGCTCTGTAAAACCAGTGCCCGCAAGAGGAAGGCCAGATTCCTCAGCAGCTTCTCAGCCGAGCTCTTTTGGAGCCTCATCTCCCGACACCCCCAGGCTAGCTGGGGTACCACCTGCTCCAGAACACACAGTATCAACTAGCCCCAGGCCTCCACCTGTGTAGATGCAGGTGGAGGTGTCTCGTGACACTCAGCCGTCGATAGGCGACGCGCGGCTTTTCCTGTGTCATCACTTCGTGCCCCCCCCCCCCCAGTGACCAAGGAGCTCGTCAGCTGGATGCGGGGACATGAGTCGGCAGTGTCTTCCATCTCCGTGCACGCCTCAGGCCGGTACGCCATCACCACCTCCTCGGACACTGCGCAGCTCTGGGACTTGGACACCTTCCAGAGGAAAAGGAAGCTGAACATTCGCCAGTCGGTGGGCATACAGAAGGTCAGTGAGGAGGGCCACCTGGGCAGTTTCTGGGTCTGGTGTACGGAGGACAGAAAAGTCGTGGTCACTTTGTCCACAGAGCCGTGTTCTTGGACCTGGGCCACAAGCAAAGCAGCCAGCAGAATCCAAGATGGTGCCCAACGCCGGAACTTAGCATTTCCTATCAGCTTTCAGAAATCATGTCTAACACTGTGATTTCCGCCTTCATAAGGAAGATAGGTTGATAGTAGCTCATGGGCTTTTAGTGGGTTTTTTCCTTCATTGGTTTTTCTTTAGTGGTCTTATGAAAAATTTTAAACATTCAGTGAAATTAAAAGAATTTCAATTACATCAACCACCTATTAACATGCAACCGCACCATACTTGATTAAACGTCACATTTTAATATAGTACGTTACAGACCAGTCTGTCTCTGTAGGAACCCTGGTGGCCTAGTGCTGGTTATATGTTGGGCTGCTAAGCACAGGTCAGCAGTTTGAATCCACCAACCAGTCCGTGGGAGAAAGATGAGGCTTTCTGCTCCTGTGAAGATTTACAGCCTTGCAAACCTACACAGGGCAGTTCTATTCTGTCCTATAGGGTTGCTATGAGTTGGAATTGACTAATTACCAGTGAATTTGGTTTATTGGTTTATAGTCTGTCTCCTTTATTCATTAATTCTCTTTTTTTTTTTTTTTTTGCATTTTGCAATATGTCTAAGACATGAGTATTTAAAAAAAACACAAAAACAATTGTTGAGTTGATTCCAACTCAGCAACTAAGTTATAGGACAGCAGAACTGCCCCATAGGGTTTTTTCCAAGGGTATAGTCTTTTTTTTTTAAGTTTTTCTTTTTTTTTTATCATTTTATCGGGGCTCATACAATTCTTATCACAATCCGTACATCCATCCATTGTGTCAAGCACATTTGTACATTTGTTGCCATCATCATTCTCAAAAAATGTGCTTTCTACTTGAGCCCTTGGCATCAGTTCCTCATTTGTCCCCTCCCCATTTCCCCCTCCCTCATGAACCCTTGATAATTTACAAGTCATTATTATTTTTGTCATATCTTACACTGTCTGATGTCTCCCTTCACCCACTTTTCTGTTGTCTGTCCTCCAGAGAGGAGGGTATATGTAGATCCTTGGAATCGGTTCCTTCTTTCTACCACACCCTCCCGGTATCACCACTCTCACCACTGGTCCTGAGGGGTTCATCTGCCCTAGATTCCATGTGTTTCCAGTTCCTATCTGTACCAGTGTACATCCTCTGGTCCAGCCAGATTTGTAAGGTAGGATTGGGATCATGATAGCGGGGGAGAGGGGGAGGAAGCATTTAGGAACTAGAGGAAAGTTGTATGTTTCATCGTTGCTACACTGCACCCTGACTGGCTCGTCTCCTCCCCGATACCCTTCTGTAAGGGGAAGTCCAGTTGCCCACAATAGCCTTTGGGTCCCTACTCTGCACGCCCCCTCATTCACAATGATTTGATTTTTTGTTCTTTGATGGCTGATAACTGATCCCTTCGACACCTCATGATCACACAGGCTGGTGTACTTCTTCCATGTGGGCTTTGATGCTTCTGTGCTAGATGGCTGCTTGTTTACCTACAAGCCTTTAAGACCCCAGATGCTGTATCTTTTAATAGCTGGGCACCATCAGCTTTCTTCACATTTGCTTATGCACACGTTTGTCTTCAGCGATCATATCTGGAAGGTGAGCATCATGGAATGAAAAGCTATAATCTTTACCAAAGTAGACTGGCATGTTTTCCTCCCACAAAGCAGCTGGTGGATTTGAACTGCCATTGTCTCACTGAATAGCTGGGCACTGAAATGCTGTACCACCAGGGTTCACTGACATAATTATAAAACTCAAAACAAAACTCACTGCCATCCAGTTGATTCTGACTTACTGACTCTATAGGACAGGGTAGAACTGCCCCTGTGGGTTTCCAAGACTAACTCTACAGAAGTAGAAAGCCTTGTCTTTCTCCCTTAGAGCCGCTGGTGGTTTTGAACTGCTGACCTTGTAGTTAGCAGCCCAACTTAGAACCACTGTCCTGCCAGGGCTCCCTTTGTGTATTCCCCATAAATGCTGAGTTCCCTATTTGCTCGTCTATACTTTTATGGGATGAAATGTGCATATTTCAGGATTCATTTGTTCTGTTTCAATGGATGCATTTAAAGAAACCCAAAGCTGCTGCCATCATGTTGGTTGTGACTCACAGGGCCCCCTTAGGGTGGGGCAGACTGCCCCATCGAGTTTCCACGGCTGTACTCCTCACAGAAACAGACTACCACATCTTTCTCCCCTACCGCCGCTATCGGTTTCAAACCATTGACCTTCAGGTTAACAGCCCGGTGTAATCGCGGTGCCACCCCGGCATCATTCCAGAAAGTGTTGTCGCATCTTCCCCATCAGCCCCGGCTCCAAGAAACCCACCGTGTTATTTCTGTTTTTACAGTTTTATTGATACATAATCCACACACAAGGGGTACTCCCCCCAAAAGGGAACAGATCTCCACACATGGAGCAGTTTGCTCTGAGTCAGTGCATCCAGTGGTGTTGCCTGGGAAGGTTCTCACTGGTCACAGGGAATTCTTCCCTGAAAATGGTTTTGCTGGAACCTTGTTTTTGTGATAATTCTGTCATCTCAAAAACCAGCATGCGGCTGTGATATTTTGTTTCCTGCTTAGGGAAGAATGCTGCAGAGACTGTTGTGATGCTAAATACAGCTTACAAGGGCAGTGCTATGGGGAAAACGCCAGTGTACGAGTGATTTTCTCATTTCAAAAAAGGTGAAATGTTGATTGATGTCAAACCTCGTTCTGGGTGTCTATCAACTTCCCGACTGGACAAAAATGTGGACAAAAGGTGTGCACTTGTGCGCCAAGACCAGCAACAGACCATTGAAGAGATGGGGAAGTTATCTGGTCTATCATGGATCTCAGTGCAGTGAATTGTAACAGAAGAATTGGGAATGAGAAGGGTCCCGCGAAATGTGTGCCCCGGGTTCTGACCAGGAAGAAGGCGTTGAGTGGAAACGTGCCATGCTCGCAAAGAACAGCTCTGAGGTGACCCAGGATTTTTCCCAAGGTCGTTACACGGCGCTACTCTTATGAGCCCGAAAGCAAGCATCAATCAAGCCTGTAGCAGACGCGTCGTCACCTCACCCAAAGAAGGCTCTTCGAGTGAAATTAAAGATCAAGACAATGCTCATTGGTTTTTTGGATGTGGGGAGGATAAATTCCGTTTTGGGGGGAGTACCCCCACGTATCATACAATTCAATAGTTCAGTCATATGAAGAAGAATTGTACAATCATTACCACAATCAGTTTTAGAACATTTTCTTTTTTTATAGTTAAGTGGCCTTTAAAATGAGTTGTGTATTCACATTCAGTTCTAGTGTTCCCTCCCCCTCCGAATTAATTGTTTACTCCTAAAATTCCCTCACCCTCCCTATTGCCCGCCCCCCACCCCTAGGTCCCCTATAACCCTCTATAAAACCTTATTATCTGTGCATCACAAACTGAAAAAAACAACAAAAACTATAAAATAAATGAAATGGTAAGGAAAACTAATATAAACATAAAAATATAAATAATGAATAAGAAAGAAAAAACCACCATCAATATTCAAAAAGCCAGGGAAGAAAATTTTTGTCATGGAACAAGCAAGAAATATTTGCATCTAGAGCAAAGCCAGGTTGGGTCAAAAGGGAGGTCAAGTGAGCAAGTGTCACGTTCCATGCAGCAGCATCAAGACCACAGTGATGCGTGTCTGGTGGTAAGGCTGTTCGAGAGGCCAGCCTGTGGCTACAGGGGATCTGCCAGCAACTCAGTCTGACTAGATGCTCTCCTGGGGGGTCTTGGGCTCCCACGGTCCTCCTTAGCCTTCTACCAATTGGGTGTTCATAATTTTAGCCCTGATACTTTTCCCTTCGTCATAGTTGAATTTTGTTATTGTCATCCTTGGATCACACAAGGTGGTGTGCTTCCAACATGTGGACTTAGTTGACTCCTCCCTTAGATGGCTGCTTGTTTGAATACAAGGCTTTGAGACCCCAGACACTATTTATTCCATTTGATAGCCGGGCACTATCTGCTTTCTTCACCACACTTTGTTGTAGCACCCTTAACTTCAGTGATCATTTCATGAAGGTGAGTGTTGCGGGTTCAAGTAAATGACAGCCACTATGATGTCTTGAAATTTAGAAGGGTCTTTATTCAGCTAGCTGGGCTACCGAGAAGCCACAGACGTTTCCCCTCATAGCAGCCCTGAGTGGATGTCCCAGTCCATCTTTAAAGGCCAAAAGCTCACTTATCACCTGTCTAGGAGTCAAGCAAGTGTGAACAGAAGCATAAAGCAAAATTAATGCATTAATTGTAACTTCAAGAAGAGCAAGCATGCATTACAGGGTACAAGCCTTATCATAAAAGAAACAATACCAAAGTTTACTATAACATCCCAGTTACCATAACAAGGTTATCAGAGAAGAAGCAGTACTAAAATTGATTCTAACACCCTGGTGATCATGACAAGATCAGCTGTACCATTCAGATTGCAACATCAAAAGGAACACCATTGAAAAGTAATTAAAACAAAGGACACATGGAAGAATAGTCTAAACTAATTGTAGAGTCCTGAACCTGGGAACACGGGAGTACCTTCTAAAATTCATCACCGGCAGAGACGTTCCCATAAGGGGAGGGAGAGCGGGCAGGTCAGCCAGCAGTCAGCTTTCCGAGGGGGAAGGGAGGAACTGGACAGTCACTTAGCAGCTTGTCTGGCCAGTCTGCTCCATGCTAGCCCTGGGGGTAGACTGCAACGAGAGCCCAGAATCCATCTGCTTGTCCACGGGATGTGCACAACTCTGCCTTACTTTGGTGGTCGTATGATGACAAAGTCAAAAACCCATTCAGACCAACTATCTCAACGACAACAAACAAGCAAATGAAAACAAAAACCACGCAAACATGCTGAAGGCAGGAAAGCAAAAACCTATAGAAACAAA